AGCCCCGAGCCGAGACTGTAGGCAGTTTGCTCAGGTTCGGGCAGGAGTGAGCATGGGAACCCAGGGGGGCTGGGCTACTGGTGCCCCAGCTGGGAGAGTCTCTTCTCCTCTGACCCAAAGATGGAGAAGGCCCTGGGTCCGTGTGGGTGGTGTGAGTCTTCAGTTGCGTCCTCACACTCAGGGTTTGACAGTTTCCCTGCACTTCAGACCCCACGCACAGTGAGTCACTATGTTTTCAAGTCTCTTCACGTGTTTTTTGTCATTTCTGTCACACGGAGGCTCCACTTGGTTGAAACAAGTGTCCTCTGCCATGTACTCCTGACCAGGAACTTGGGTTCTTGGGAACATGGAGGGTGTTTCCTTTGGTGTCTAGAGCAGGACAGTAGCAAGTCCCCTTGTGTCTGCAGCCTCACACAGGCCACCCCAGTGATGCTAGGGTTGCATAAGCACGTCCTGCTCTGCTTTGCTGCTAAGCAACTTCTCTCCCACAAAGGATGTGGTGAGGGGAGAGGTTTTCAAGTGCAGCTCTGAGGTGCAGAGGCGGCTGAGGGAAGGAGTGCAGAGGGAGCGGGGGTGGGGGTGGGGGTGGTACTAGGGCTGCCAAGGAGCCTAGGCTTGCATAATCCTCCCCCCACCCTCCCCAGAAGAGAACAGGGTTTAGATGCCTCCTAGCAGCAAGGGGCTATGCTCACTGCTTGGGACCTGGGAGTTCCTAAGAGGGAGAAACACTGGTAGCTTCCAGAGGGTCCTGTTCCCTCAGACTGCGAGCATTCCCCTGATGGAGCCCGTCTTCGCCCTGGCACACTCTATGGGCTGGGGGCTACCGCCAAGCAGGACCGCTCTCACACTCTGCTGCTGCTGTGTGGAACTCACTTTCCTCACCTAACCTGTGGACAGCAACATGGACCTCCGTCTCTTCTCTAGGAAGCCTTCCCAGGTGGATTGAGAGGAGGGGGTTGGCCTCAATGTCCCCATCTCTGCAGAAACTGGAGGAAGACCCCCCTAGCTTCCAGAGGAAAGGCCGCTGCTTTAGGTGATTCCCTGCTGGTGCCATTTTCAGGGCTTCAAACTCCAATGGAGCTTCTGCAAATTTTTCCAGCCTGAGCTGGCTGATTCTCCCAGAGCTGCTGCCTTGTGGGAGGAGGAAGACTTCTGAAACTCAGCCCACTCACCTTCCTCTGTGCTTTGAAGGCTAGGCCGTTTTGACTTAGGGTTTCAGAACCAGAGGAACATTTTGCACCCAGCAATTTGTTTATTTATTTTTACTTGCCAGTGGGCATGTGCACTTGCCAGAGAGAGATGGAGAAAGAGAGAGGGCGAGAGAGAAAGCACCCCCACATGAGGCACGGTCACGACACAATCCCGTCTCCTCCATTTCTCCATTCTGTTGGGATTTGGGGCATGCAGGCATATATACTTGCATGTTTTTCAAGCCACTGGGGTCAGCCAGATGGGACCTAGCTGACCTAACTACCAGGCCATAGTTTATAGGAAGTGTAAAGATAGCTTGCTCTGGGCCAACAGATGGTGTGGAGGTTAGAGTGGCTGGATTCCACTTGGCTGACTGCACAGTTGGAGTCCTGGACCCAGAATCTTGACAACCATGCTGGGTGCATGTACATGCACATATGCCCATGCCCAAAATCCCAAGAGGAGAATGGAAGAGAAGGAATTGTAGTGTGGCCATACCCTTTGGGAAGTGCTTTTTCATGTTCCCTCTCTCTGTCTTCAGTGAGTTCATATGCCCTGTAGCAAAAAAAGAAAAAGATAGTTTGTTCATACTAGCTCACTCTCCTTTCTGACAGTGGTTGGATGGTTGGGTTTGTTTTTTATTTTTTTTTTAAGTCTATTTATTTCTTCCATGAGAGAGACAGACAGGCAGGCAGGCACCCCCAATAAGGTCCTTACATGACCCATCCCCAATCTCGGCTGGCCTAGGTAAATACATGTGCATATATGCACGCCTGGTTAGTTCAGAGAGATCCCAGGATGCAAACCCAGGACCTTTCCCATGTGCGTTGAGCTGCACTACTGCTGTGTCACCACCTGGCTATCCTTTCAAACATTTTTGGCCCCAGCAGCACTCCAGGCCACATCCTCAAGAACCACATGGGGTGACTTTGTGTTTCTGCTCCAAGCTGTCACTGCAAGCCCAGGGCCTGTTCCCTGTTTCGTAGGTCAAGGCCAGCTGTCTAGGTCACTTTGTGCTTGCCTACCTGGCCCAACTTCTCTCTCACCTCCCGGCTCACACATATGGTTTGGCATTTCAAATAAGTCAAGTGCCATCTGCAGTTGAAGAGGTGTCACTGTGTCACTTCTACCCCAGCTCTTCACAAACTCAAAGACTGCCTTCTCTTGAGCCCTGTACCATCTAGGGGAGGTGGGAGCAAGTGCGTGTGTGGACCCTGCTGCAGACCCAGGGCTGTACCCCTGGGAATTGAAGTTTCGTCTGAGGGTGTGAGGGCAGCATGTGGAGCATGGTCCTTGGTTGTGCGTGGGAAGCACTCCATTGTGAGACGCAGGCTTGGAGCTTCAGGTGATGTGAAGACAATGGGTGAAAAGAGGGGGGAGTATCAGAGTCATAGGGGGGGTCGGTGAGTAGAGGTAAGTCAGGAGAGGGTCTCACTACCTCCTGAGAGGCCCGGCTTGCTGGGACCTGTATCCGCACTCTCCTGTCTGTACACTTGCCTGTCTCCCCAGCCACCTGTGAGCTCGTGAGCAGGCACTGTGTCCCATTTACCCATTGTTTCCCTGAAGCCCTTGTCCTGGCAGGTCCTCAGCAAACAGCTTTTAAAAATAGTTTTTGGGAGTCAGCAGGTGGTAGGGTGGATAAGGGCGCTGGACTCCCATATGGCTGACTGAGGTTTGAGTCCCATACCTGGCAGCTTCCTTTCTCACTTTCCCTCTCTCTCTTTCTTTCACTCTGTCCCTCTCTGCTCAATTAAAAATAAATAAAATAAATAAATAAAGTTAAATAAAATAATTCTTAAAAGATAAAAAAAAGCTTTGGGTGACTGTCACTCCCTTTCTTTTTGTGGTACTTCCCCTTCCAACTTGTCTGTGATATTAACCAGACGTAGTGGGATGCAGAGGGCAGGGTGGCAGCTGTGCTCCCGTGTCCACTATGTGTGTGTGTCTCAGAGGAGTCCTCAGTCCAGGACAGGGCAGTGAGGCAGGTCGGGGTTTTAGTAGATCCTTTCTTGCACGCTGAGGACTGGAAAAGTTCATGAATATGCTGTTTGTGTGTGTGTGGTTGTGAGCGTGTGTGTGTGTGTGTGTGTGTGTGTGTGTGTGTGAGGAGAGCAAGGCTGTCATACAGGAATAGGCAAGGTGTTCCTCTGTCCCCTCAGAACAGCTCAGATCATAACGCAAATCTCAGGGGTACCCATGCCAAGAGAGATTTACTCAGGCTCAGCGCTCTCTTTTCTCGTTTCCTTTACAGCAGTCCAAGGTGGTGCTCTTGGAAGACCTGGCTTCTCAGGTGGGCCTGCGGACTCAGGTAAGTACTGGAAGGTGGCCTGCCTTGTGGAATGTGGCCGGTGGGGTCTTTGTGGCTTGCACAGAAGAGAGATATCTTTAGGGCCTTCCCTAAAAGTAGAGTCTTTTTATTTTTATTTTAATTTGCCAAAGGGTATATGTGCTTGCCAGAGAGAGAGGGAGAGGGAGAAGGCACCTCCCAATGGGACATGGTCATGCCATAGTCCCTTCTCCATTTCTCCATCCAGTCAGGATTTGGGGGCACCCATGCACACATGCCCAGCATGGTTTTCAAGCCAGCAGGGTCAGGATTCAAACCACACAGTTGGTCATGTTGGATCCAGCTACCTTAACCACTAGGCTAGCTCAAGGTAATCTTGATTTCCCCACCCTTCCCACCACCAGGAGTGAGTAGGGTAGAGGAATCTCTTAGCACTCTAGGAATCCTATGTCTTTATTAGATGGAAGAACTGGTAGGATTGAAAATGGGAAAAAAAAATCCAAACCAAATCATTCCACCAGCTCCTGTGACTAGAGCACCCCAAATCCAGTTACCTCGACAACTTGTGCTAATTGGCTGCACCAGCTTTCATGGCCAGCTGTCACTGCTCTCCTCCAGCTGGAACACAGGGCCCAGGACAAGAGCCCTGTTTCCCCAGAGTCCCTTAAAAAGCAGAGCAGAGAGTCTCATTGTCCTCTGCTGGGAGGGAGGAAAATTGGCTATGGTGGGAGGGAGGTTGCAGGTGTTTTTTCTGGGGAAAACAGTGCCTGTTACTGCTCTGAGAATTGTTTTCCTTCTAGGACACCATAAACCGCATCCAGGACCTGCTGGCTGAGGGGACTCTAACAGGTGAGAGGACAGGGCTCAGTCATTACAGGCCCTGGCCTTGAGAACTGTCTAGCCACAGGGACCAGCAGGGACTTGTTACAGAAGCAGGATGACCCTCGGGCGAGGGGTGGGGGGGAGTACACTTGAGTAATGGAGCACCATGAAGACATACTGAGACCTGGGGCTGTCTCTGAGGGGGCGAGGACAGGCAAGGAAGTCTGACTGACTGGCCTATCTGGGACTGGATGTATCTGGGAAAGGCCAGGCAGGCCAGAGACCTAGAGGGCTCCGAGCCAGTTGTGAGGGAGTCAGTAGACATTCTCAGACCAGATGGGAGGGCTCAGCCCCACACCCTGCGTGCTCCCACAGGTGTGATTGACGACCGCGGCAAGTTCATCTACATAACGCCAGAGGAGCTGACTGCTGTGGCCAACTTCATCCGACAGCGGGGCCGGGTGTCCATCGCCGAGCTTGCCCAGGCCAGCAACTCCCTCATCACCTGGGGCAGGGAGCCTCCTACCCAGGTCCCCGCCTGACCCCAGCCCTTCTCTCTTGGACTCGGAGCTGGTGCAGCCTACCTAACCACACCTTCATCTTTCCTTACCATCCTGGGGCAGGGATGGAGTGTGACCAAGCAGTTACAAATTAAAGCCCATGAGCACTGCTGAGCTTGGTGTGGCTTGGTGTGGTAGAAGGCCTGGCCTGGAATCCCAGATGAGGAGGTGAAATCTAAGCCTCAGAATTTATCCGAAAGATGGGGAGATCCCTTAGAAGATGGTGAAAGTCCTTTTTTAAAAAGTAATTTTGCTAGAGGTTGTGCGCACTCACCAGAGCCCGTGTAACCACACCTCTGGCTAGCCTGAAAGTCCATTTTTATGGTGCGTTCATTCAAAAAAACAAAGCCTGGGCCAGCTGGCGGCATGGCAGCTAAGGTAGCTGGATCCTGCATGACCAATTACGTGTGATGAGTCCTGGACCTGGTAGCTTGAGAAACGTGCTGGGTATGTGTGCATGCCTGGGCCAAAATCTCAGGAGGAAGATGGAGGAGAAGGGATTGTGCTGTGGCCATCACCCTGAAGGGTGCTTTCTCGCTTTTTCTGTCTCTCTCCAGTAAGCACATTCTAAAAATGACAAAAAAACAAATCCTATTGTGCAATGTTCCTTTTGCCATGCAAGCCCGGCTGTTCAAGCCCTAGATGAGGTCTTCTCCTCTCTCCCACCCATCTCAGAGTGAAGAAGGGGAAATCTTAGGCCACATCTCTCTTAACCAGGGATCGGGGGGAGAAGGAGTTGTCTTATGGCTTTTTTATACAGATTGAAGAGCCCTAGGTAAGGTTGGGAGCCCATAGGGAAAAGGGTAGAGTCCTAGGGAGCAGAAGTCATTAAGAGGAAGAGAAGGAAGGTCAGTGATGAAGAAAGGCTGAGGCAGATGGGAGGAACTGCTTGAACTGGATATCCCTGTAGCAGAGGGATGTTGCTCAGATGGCAGACCACATGAGTTTAGCTGGACATGCTTGACAAAAAAAAAAGTTGAAATGGCGTGGGTGATTCCACCCCCTGATAGCTCTGAGGACCATATGCTCAGGAGTGGGTGTGAGGTGGAAGATACGGATCTCCTGAAGGGTCAGTCTCTCTTGCTCCTGTGGGCTGTTCATGGTGTGAGCATCTTGCTGTTTGGGGGACGAGGCACATGTTTAAGTGTGTGCATATAGGCTTGCTTTTTTTTTTTTTTTTTTTTTTAAGGCAAGGTGGCCCCTAAACATAAGCCACCTACTTCCTCTGGTGCCTGGTGGAGGAGGCAGCAGTGTTCAGTTCCGGCCCAGGAGGAAACTGTGTGGATGGTGTTAGAGAGACAGTGCGTCAAGCTCCAGGGCAGAGCCTCCCTGAGCGGTTGTCAGGAGAGATTTTGACTCATTGGATGCTGTAAGCACTGACTGAATATCAAACCCAGATTCCAAGTAAGGTGTGCCTCTGCTATTTCCATCAGTGACGGGCACTTGCAGTCACCTGGAGCCGTGAAGGGCCAAGTGCATCATTTGGAAATCCATCTGGAGCCCACAGTCTAGTAGGAGAGAGAAGAAACAAGACTTAGTTAACCATAGTCTGAGATAGAAACATAAAATTACAAAGGGAAAGGAAGAGGTGACCTTCAGTCGTATGAGCATTTCTCATCCCTGTGATTCATTAGAATCACCCAGAGTTCTCTGCTGTCTTATGCCAGGCTGCCCCCAGAACCATGAAATCAGAGTCCCTGGGCACAGGATCAAGGAGCATCAGTAGGATATGGTAATATGCAATCAAGGTTGAGAGCCAGGGGACAGAGGTAGGGATACAGTGTGGAGAGGCAGGAGATAAAGCTGCAAGTAACTAAAACCCCAAGTGGAAGGGGCTTCTCACAGAGCAGGGCAGCTTCAGGGGCTCTTCCACTCTGCCTCAGCCATCCCCTGCCACTGCCATCCTAGAAGCAAGAGGCTAAGGCAGCCCTAGCATCTCATCCTCAAAGCAGTTCCCAAAGGCCAGGAGAGGGTAGAAGCAAATCTCTTCCTCACACCCTGGAAGCCACCTAACATTCTTGATGTCCCAAGGGCTTAGCATGGAGGAAGAAACCTACAACCTTTTGTGTCCTGGTAAGTGCTTGGTCTATCAATCCAATAAATTTATCAAATGAATAATTCAAAAAATAGTAAACAACATTTTTCTAACTACAAACTTTTTTTTAACTAATCAATGAAAACAGGGTTAAAAACTTCAAATTTTTCAAGACCAACAGGTGGCGTGGTGGTTAAAGGTGCTGGACTTCCACATGGCAGAACACGGTTCAAATGCTAGACCTCGTGGCTTGTTTTCTCACTTGCCCTCTCTCTGATCAAACTGGAAAATAATAAATAAAATAATTCTTTTAAAAAAAACTTTGAATTTTTCAAACATTTAAACATTAGCTGTTAATGTGAGTACTTGCAAGCATTTGATTTAAACCCCCAAATTTAGTACATGAAATTACTTGAAATGCTTTATATACCTTAAAAAATAGACCAGGCACACATGGTATTATAATGATTATATTACTTATCTGTACACATAACACTAAACCTAAACTTGATTGTAAACACTTCAATACCATGTGTTTATATTTGCTTTTTCACTGACTCTATTTTAATTTTTTTTAAAGAATTTTAAAATTTGGAACCAGCAGTTAGCATAATGGCTATGTCGCTGGACTCCCATGTAGTTGACCGTGGTTCACGTCCCAGACCCAGTGGCTTAAAACTTAACACCGGCCACGTGTGCGTGCATGCCCAAGATCCCAAGAGGAGAATGGAGGAGAAGGGATTGTGGCGTGACCATCCCCCTTGGGGGGTGATTTCTCGCTTTCTGTCTCTCTGTCTCTGTCTGTCTGGCAAGTACATGAGCCCTATAGCGAAAACCTCTCCAAAAAAAAGGTTTTTTTTTTAAATTTAACTTTATCTACTTATTTAAATTTGACTAGAGAGGGACAGATTGAGAGAGAAAGTGAGAAAGCAGGCTACCAGGTCCAGGACTCAAACCACGGTTAGCCATATGGGAGTCCAGTGCCCTTAACCACCACACCACCTGCCAGCCCCAGTTCTATTTTATTTTAATTTATTTATTTTTAAAGAATTATTTAATTCTATTTACTCATTTACTTATTTTAATTTGACCAGAGAGACAGAGAGAAAGGTAGAAAGCAAGCCACCAGGTCTGGAACTCAAACCGTGGTCAGCCATATGGGAGTGTCCAGCACCTTAACCACCATGCCACCTGCTGGTCACCCCCAGTTCTATTTTAATTTTTAAAAATTATTTATTTACTTTTATTCATTCATTCATTTTATTTTGATTTGACCAGAGAGAGACACAGAGAGAAAGAGAAGGAAAGTGAGAAAGCAAGCCACCAGGTCCAGGATTCGAACCATGGTCAGCCATGTGGGAGTGTCCAGCACTTTAACCACCACGCCACCTGCTGGTTCCTTTAATTTTAAGGTTATAGTTTTCACTTACTCTGGAATCAACTGTGTCAGGTGGCTGAGGATGTACATAGCACTGATAGATGCTGATTCAGTACCAGGAAGCCAGGACTTTGATGTGATCCTGCCTGAGTCCTTTTTACCCATTAGGTGATCCCTTTTTCTTTTCTTTATTTTTTCTTCTTTAATTTGCTATAGTGTGTGCACATTATCCAGAGAGAGAAAAAGCGAGAAAGCACCCCACAGGCAGAGTGACCCTGTGGCAATCCCTTCTCCATTCTCCTCTCAGGATTTTGGGCACTTATGCACACACACCTGGTGTGCCTTTCAAGCCATTGAATCCGGGACTTGGAACTGTGCAGTGGGCCATGTGGGATCCAACCACCATAACCACCATGCCACCTAGCTGACTCTCTTCATTTCTTTTAGAGTGTCAGAGGGTATACGTACTTACTGGAGAGAGACAGGGAGAGGGAGAAAGCACCTCCTAATGATGCGGTCATGCTGCAGTCTTCTCCACCTCTCCCTCCTGTCAGGATTCTGGGGCATGCATGCACGTTTTTGCTTGGTGTCCCCAGGACAGAGGGCTGGGACTTGAACCACAGTCGGCCTTGTGGGATCTGGCTTTCCTTAACCACTAGGCTATGGGTTGACCCTGGGTACCCTCTCTTCCATAGTTAAATTCCCCCAGCTTACATCAGGAACTCTTGGCTCCAGAAAAGTTTTATGTGTTTTAATTTGCCAGAGCGCATGTCAGAGAGAGACAGAAACCAGGATCCTAGAACGTCACTGTCATCCTTTATAGGCCCCAGGGCCAGTCCACGTTTTGGTTTTTGTGACTCCCAAGTAGTGCTTGCACTGGATGTGTTCTCTTACAGCCCGGCCCAACATGGGTCTGTTGTGATACCACTTGTTCCCAGCAGAGTCCGATCTAATTCGCTTTGTTACTTTCATAAATTCTCTTTTTTATGGATCTTCAAGGCCTGTTACTGGCAAGCCCCATTGTTGGAGAGCCATTTTATACAGCATGACTTACCAGAAATGGTTATTTACAAGACTGGCCATGAATGGAAAAGTACTGAAACTGGATGATAATACATGGATGTTGTAGTTACCTGTTTTCATACATGTTTAAAATTCTCAATAACAAGGTTAAAGTTAAACACACTGAGTCCTAGTTGGCTTTATATATCTTAGACTCATGCTAAGCCTCAGAAAAGGGCCTAACAAATCTGTGCTAGGTGAAGTCACCGGTAGTCACGCCACCTAGCAGTTAAGTGACTCCTGTAGATGACCGCAAAGGCACTGGCAGAAAGCGTGTTGGAGCTCTGTCATGTGAAAATCATTTAAATACATCCAAAGTGTGTTTTAAAAAATAATATATAGGGAACCAGCAGTTAGCGTAATGGCTATGTCGCTGGACTCCCACGTAGTCAACCACAGTTCGCGTCCCAGACCTGGTGGCTTAAAACTCACGCTGGGTGCGTGTGCGTGCGTGCCCAAGATCCTGAGAGGAGAATGGAGGAGAAGGGATTGCAGCGTGACCATCCCCCCTGGGGGGTGATTTCTCGCTTTCTGTCTCTATGTCTCTGTCTGGCGAGTGCACACGCCCTATAGTGAAAACCTCTCAAAAAAAAAAAAAACCCACAAAAATAATATATAATGTATGGAGGGGCTGGTAGG